TGCATCGATGTGTCACTTTCGTTATTCCACATCGCCGAAGATTGCTCGCAAAATAAGTTGCTCGTATATTTGTGATATCCATGCAGGCGGAAACCATTTTTTCGCGCGCCATCGCATCGCGTTGTACAAAATAATAATATATCCGCAAACATCATCCTTTCGCATGCGAGAAAATGTCCGATAGGACGAAAATAAATTTCGATTACCTGTACTAGAATGGGAGAAAAAAAGATAATAGTTCAGTGCGGATATACCGATCGCGGCGACGGATAGGGTGAACAGCTTGCGGGAGGGGGAGGAGGTGTCCACAGTGTATATTAGATATTTAAATCCTGCGGTTCGCGAAATATTGTGATACCGGTGCATTGTGGCCCGCGGTGCTGTTGGATATCGATATTATTTCGTTTTGCGGCAACGTGAGTGTGAGCGGAAATAGGAGAGAGAGAGAGGAAGAGAGAAAGAGATCATTGATAACACAATATCTACATGTACATACATACATGCACAGAGGTAGAGAGAATTGCTCTACAAACTGCGCTCCTAATTTTAATGACAAATTTTGGGATTAATTAACGTTGTTATAATTACAACAATTACTTAACGTTGAAAATTAAATAATGTTAAAGAAATTGTGTCTAAAAAATACTTATATCCGCGCATATTAATTATTAATATCATAGTTAATCTTAAATTTTGATAACATTATGAAAAATTAGCCATGCAATTAATATGCAAATTAAAACGCATTCGAAATATATAAACAAATATCAGAGACAATTCCATGAACAATAGCATGAACTATCGCAATTTTCTTTTTGTGTGATAACACGAGCATAAGAATCGAGTTGCCTTTCAAGCGAGTATGCATCTGCAAAAAGCGCTCAACATTTTTTATCTTATCTCCGACTGACAGAGTTCAAACGGACGTCGCGAGGGATTGTTGGCGCAGACACGATAAGCGTATCCGTGCATTTTTCCCCTTTTCTATTCCCTTTTGATTCCCTTTCGGATTTCAAGTTTTTCTCTTCGTTTAGCAAAACA